AAAGCTGTTCTGTGACAATTGTCACAACTGACATTCTACCCTGTGAAGAATGCAAATGGCTGTAGAAAAAAAGTGATCCAAAGCTCTCTGGTGACACAGAAAGATTTCTATTGAGTTCAGTGAGTTTGGGGTGAGAACCTTAAGAATGCAGAAATAATCAATCACTTATTTAAGTGTACTCATAAACAACTAAGCACATTTTCTACTCTAGAAATGTGCTAGACACCAAGCAGCTTGAGTTCAAACAGGATAACTGCAGCAATCTGAGAAAGCTTGTACATATGCTGAAGAAAGAAAATTTGCTACTGGAAGTTCAGGTAAATGTGGAATCAGCATCAAAAGAATGGAGTGATTATTGAAATTATGTGATTCCCTCCCCAAAAAATGCTTTGGGGCCAAGTTTAATCCAAACTGCTTGAATATACAAATATTTGCCTGTTTTTCTTCTTAGGCATATTTCTAAGCAATGTCTTAAAAAACCTTTTCTCCAAAACCAGATGAACTAGGATGTAAAAAATAAGAAATTACATATGATTATATTAACTGAATATGTGATAGCCATTGGCAAATTTGTATGGTAATTATTTCTTCCAGAGAAGGTCATCCTGTATCATGTGCTTTATAATAGAGAGATGCTTATGTAATACAGTTATCCAAACCTCTTGGATGACACCAGCTAAGTCAGGACCAGGATTTCTTATGAGTCAGTTCTGGATTATTTCTGTGTATTATGCAAGACTGCTTGTAACAAAATGCTTAAATGGAATTGGGAGCAAAGCCCAGCACCCAGGACTTCTTGTCCCACTTATGTCTCCTAACAGTGGCCACACTTTCTCATCTTTTCTTCCTTTCCCCATGGATTCTTGCATACTTGGCTTCCCTGTGACAACAAAAGACTGAAAAACGGTCCTTCCAACCTAACTGAAAACCTTGTTTCTGGAGCATTCATAGGGCAGATAGAAGCTGGAGGTTTGAACCCACTTGGTTTGAGAGCCCCTAGAGCTCTCATCTCAGAGATTCTGTGCAATGCTTTTACCACCAGACAACTGAACAAACAGTGAGGGAGTAATGTAATCTCCTCCTCTGTCTGCATATTAAAGGATGATGTTAAAATGCTACATGGTTCTTAAATACAGTTATAGTGGTTGTGAAAGAAGTTAGGAGCTTCTGTCCTTTGGATTTTAGGATTGAACCCTCAACCATCTAATCTTCCAAACTTGCTTGCTGGTCTACTGATAAAAAGCCAGAACTTCTTTTCACAGGGATCACTGAGTTCCAAAAAATGGGTGTCCTTTGTACTTAATTTTTATGGTAACTTGTGAGTGACAATCTCAGACACACAGTAAACATTAGTCCCAGAGCATCCAGGGGAGCTAACATTTTTTTTTTTTTTTTTTTTTTTTTTTTTTTTTTGGGTGTGTGGGGGGGTGAGAGATTAGCACTCTAAAATACCTTTGTCATGTTTTATTTATCCATATTTCCATTATTTAGGATGATATCATCACAACAAACAAGCAAGGAAGTGCTTAAATGTAGTGCCTAGGGAGCAAAATGCATCAGTTGTCCCAGTAGATATTCTGCCTTAGGGATACCATGGACCTAAAATATGCATATCTTTTTGTCCTTCATGCATTATTTTAGAATGCATCCATTCTAATTAGGTTCTTAGATAAGACTGAATTGTGAGTTTCTGAATTCACCCTTTGGCTCAGTGACTGGCTTCCATTTTGTGTCTCTGGAGAACACAACATATTGCCTGAATAACTATGTGATGTTATGTCCAAGGTATTTATTGCTTCCATTAAATCATATTGAGACCCAAAATTAACACAAGAGAAGGGAAAACTACTCTGATACAGATTTTCATCTCAGCTGCTTTGGGTTAAAGTCAATTATTAAAATTCTAATGGAATTATCTTTTCCTTGAGATTTTTAGAAACTTAATGATTTCAACAGTAACCACTTAAAAGCTGAGGTAATTCAGGTTTTATTGTTTTTTTCCCCTTTTGCTAAAATACATTTAATTGAGAGAAGATAGGAAATTATTAAGGGAAAGCAAAGGCCTGAAACTGTGTTCATGTAAAAAATAATAAAAAGGTAGCCTTATGGAGGCAGAGTTGCAAGATTTGTAATTATAGAGTGGTTGAGAAGTTATTCGAAGTGCCATGGAAGCAGAAGGATGATTATTTAGACTTACAGTTGACAGATTTTTAAGTAACAGTAACAAAACCACATTGTTAGTTTAAGGAACTTTTACTATACTAATGGCTTGAAATCCTTGGGGTCCCAGCCAGCACGATGTATTCCACAAACTCTCAAGTACTTTCTTCCAGGTGTTGTCCAATCACATTAATTCATCTTAACCTTTGTTTAATATCCTGTCTGTATTTTCTTTTTCTAACTTAAACACTGCTAGGCAAAGGTAATAATTTTGGATTCTGCTTATTCTACACTCCTTATTTTTTATCACTATTCTGTTCATGTCAGGGAGCTGCATGATCAGGATATTTAAATATTTAAGCACAAAAATATTTGAGGAGTAAGCTTGTAAAGTCATCACAGATAGAACTGTTCAAACAACCTTTGCCAGCAATAAAGTGACTCTAAGCCTTAACAGACATTTGGCAAATACTCTTTAGCCTTCTTCTGTAGGTATTTTCTTGTGAAACTTCTGAATGTTTTTAGTGGTTTCCCCAGTTCATACCTCACATACCTTGAATATTCCTATAGAAATCCATATGCTTTAGGATTTAGCCAGTGGCTTCTCCAACAGGGCTCCTGCAAGTATTCCTGTCTCCCCTCATTTCTTGTTGAACAGTTGATAAGTGAGAAAGTGTCTTCTGAGGGTCCTTCGGCCATTGACCAATGTATGAGTTTCAGGTCCCCAGAGAAAAGGCGAGTGTTTATCTCCCAAGAGATAAAAGCCTTACTAGGAGGCTCTTGTCCTATCAGTAATATTGCTGTAACTACAGTATTCTTAGGACACATAGGTCTAAAAGAGGATCAGAGCACAGGAAGAGGTATTGTCCTTTATTAATCACCTCATAGACCTGGAAGATGGACAACTTTTTGGATTGTGTCTGCTGTTATTTCTTACCACACCTGATGAAATGGACTCTGAACCTGAGAAGAATAGACCACAGTTTGGGCCCTTAGCATTACAGGAGTACAAGAAGATGACTAAATCTTCACAGAGTGAACTTGATTCATTTTCAGTCTCATCATACATCAGATTAAATTGCTAATTATATTTCTTCATAATCAACTAACAAACATGTTCTCACTAGATTTGAATATTTTACTAGAAAACCTGTTATTATTAAACTACTTGTCAGCACTAGGGAGAGGATCTCAATGGTTGTTTTTCACATTTCACATGCTTTATGTTACATTTACTTTACATTGCAAAATACATTTATCACAGTATTTATTTGAAGTTCTATGTGTTGTCCTAATTTTACTAGGTAAGTAGTCTGCCATAAGCTGTTTGTGCCATTCATTTAATAAATGCTTTTTGACACAAAGCTTTTCAGATTACCTAGTGGATATGTGCATATTATATTGTATTTACAAGCTCAAACATATGGTATTAATAAAGAGATGGCTCTGACAATTTCCTTTTCTAAATGATGAGACTTTTTTGACTAGGGGCTGAAGATGCCAAGGTAGCCATTCTGTAATCTAGCAAACATGTGCACACGTGTACTTGAACATGGTCATCAACACATGTCTGTAAACTTACATAAGCATAGTGTGAATCACCCTTGTAACTATCCCTCAAAAGTCTGATCCAAATCTATTTAAATCTATAGATTCCCACTGATTTTGTTATGTTGTGGATGAAGTCCAGAAGAGATGATTACAGATGTTTCTTTGCAGCAGGCAGTTTATCAACTTCTTGAGGAACTGATGAAATCCTCTCATGGCAAAACTTCCACTGACTTTATTGAAATCAGGATTTTCCCTGTGTATGTTTAGATAATCAGCTTTATGTGCTCTTTAATGACCAAGAAGCAATGCTGATAAATCTAGAAATTCCATCATGAATAATTGATCTTCAGCTGCTTAAAGTATCTCCACAAGTGCATTGCAACTGATATTCTTACACAAGATTGAGATATTCTAGGGAATGTACACTCATTTGTCATTGAGACATCTATTTTATCGTGCTGGGATTCACAGACCAATTGCTCCTTTGCCTTTTCAGATGCAAAGCTAATTAATGACAGTGCTGGTGCCACAAAAAATTGCATGTTAGTTAGCGTGCTTGCTTAAAGAAGTAGAAATCTTGGCTCAAATCCTCCTCTGCCCTGTGTGGCCTGAACTTGCATCTCCCATGTCCTAGGAAGCTGCCTGGCCTCCTGTGAATGGGGATGATAGATGATTAGAGCTGTCCTAATTTTGATCAGATGTTTACATATTCACTGAAGGACTTATGGGAACATAGGTCTTCCTTTTCATACCTTGAATGCCCCAGAAGCACAAAACGGAAGATTTATTTAGACTTTAGGTAATTTCTTCTCCATTTGCTTTATTTCTCCCCACCCCAAAATAATTATGAGCTATTCCAGGGAGACCTCAGAAAGAGAGGTTTCTGGGACTTCTCTCACTCTACCTTAGCAGTCTGAGCACTCCTCCGGGAGATGTGTTTTAAGCGCTCTTGACAGAGGATAGCTGCAGAATAAGCAGCTAGTGTCACTGCCAGATTGAACAAATTCAGGTACCTGCAAGGAATGATCTCTGGCTGAAATCAGGCTGTCACTGAAGTCAGTAAGAAATGAGAAGAAATCACGTTTTCTTTCATAATTAAACAGGCACACAAATTGAGAAGGAGGAACTTCAAGCTAATACTGTTTTGTTTTCCAACTCTTCTGAGCCTACTTACTAATTCTTTTTTGTAATTTTTTTAGGGCTAGCCCTTAAGGGTTTTATTTTCTGTTCTGTTAATTTTATCAGCTGGCTTATTTTTAAAATACATAATCTTTTTTCCTTTCCTGCAGGTCTTGTTGCCACCGTATGATGATCCTGTGAACGGAGCTGCTAAAGAACCACCACCACCTTATGTGTCAGCATAAGTGAGAGCATGTTGTGTACCTAGGGAGGATAGCTTTACTCTTCAGATATTGGAGCAATAGTTTGATAATTTCACTTCCAGGTTATAACCTCTATGGGTTATGCATTGCTGTTTTGCTGACATATTGAAACCTAAATTGTATTATTCAAGTTCTGTAGATAGTTTTAATAATTTGTTGCAACTACAGTAGAGTTTCAGAAACTAGTGAACTAGTTTCAGAACTACTCTGGGTAGCTCTGAAGTTTCAGTAGACACTTAAAAGCTTTTTCCACCATGTCTGACACGCAGTGCTAGAGAACATAGAACTTTGCATACTCAATCAGGTTCAGAGTGTAACTTAATTTTTTTTATTATTTGTAAAGCTTCCAAAGCATTACAGATGTGTTTCTCAAATACCCACTTTCACCTTCAGAACACAGACGAAGTCCAAAAAAGTGACATTCCACTTCATTCCTGTTCTGCAAGAATTGATTAAATTAGTAAGCTATGAAGGATGATGATTGAGAAGAAGGGATCTTATGCGTTGTTCTCATCAACCTGGCTAATGGGAAACAAATCTAATTGGGAAAAATAAGTATGGGAAATGAGAATAGACAAAGCACTCTGTGATGTGTAACAGCCCAGAACCTGTGGTCTACACAGACTCACTTTGTCCCATCCTGCAACCATTCCAACGCTCAAAAAACTTCCAGTTCTTACCAACTTCTGATAATTTTCTTTTCCTGCCTACACACCTTTTTCCTCCCACTAACTTCACAAATAGTATTTTAAGGTCACAAAATGCTGCTTTTAAAGTCCCATGGTTAGGTGACAGAGCTGTGTTTTTCACACTCAATATGCAAATGTTTTCCCATTGGAATGTGCCTGTAAATATTGCAGTGTTCTGCTGAGTGTGAACTAAATTATGCAGATTCTATGATAAATGTTCCCAACCTATGGGAAACTTATGCATGTAACTTCACTGAACATTAGTGGATATGTTTTTGTGTTTCTCATCTACATCAACATGGCGATTTTAGATCCTTTTATGACTGAACTGGTTGGGCTGAGAATCTTTCTCATGGGACTCATCCATCCATGAATGCTTGTGTGAGGTATTTATTTCTTCCCCAGAGAAGTGCCTCCTGCACATGTAACTTTTTGTCATTGATGAAGGTTCTACTTTTAACTGAAAAGGAACAGGAAAGGGAATATAATGTGTGTCTCTACCTCTCATCATTTCCCCCTGTGTTGTCTCCTCTGCATTTGGGGTGATAGAACAGGCTGAAGCCAGATTGATGCCATTGCACACCATCCCAGATAAAGGGCAGTGCAGAGCTGAGCCACAGTTTGGAGGGGCACCAGAAGATACCAAGGTGCTGTCTCTCCTGTGACTGGGCTGCCATGTGAGTCCCACACTCTTCCTAAGGAGAACACCAGTTCTCAGCCTCAGTGCATTAACTCCATTCTGCAGCTGAAGAAGAGTGGAGCTTTCCCTGCCTTTTTCTGGAAAAGAGCTTTCCAGGGGAACACAGGACCAAGAACTTTCTTGTATGGAGGTTGCCATTGTGACCTGTCCTTGCAGAGGCCAGGGAAGGAAGAGCTAGACTCTTTGTGCCTGTCTCTTCCACACTCCTGGGAACAGGCAGGTCTCTGCTTGTTGGAATTTTACTTTGAGGTTTATCTACTCTGAGGTCAAACAATGATCAGCAGTGCTTTTGACCCATCCAATTTGAAGTCCATCCATGACCTCTGTCACAGCCCTACTCCTTCCTTCAGAATAACTCCCTGTATTATTTTCTTATTACAGTTATCTTCAGGAATTAATATGAATTTGGGGTTTGGGCTGGCTGGTTGGGCTTCTGAGCTTCATTTTCTTTCATTCTTGTCAGATTTGTGAAAGAATTTAAACAGTCATCTGTTTGAGAAAAGCTGGTTGTAAATACATCGCATCTGTGTATACAAACTTCTCTACAATAAAAGGGTGTTTCCTCATGACTATGGAGAACATTTTTGCTGGTCTTCTGAGCACAAACATACACAAATTCCTGTCCGATCAATCTGACATGGCAGGATTTTCCCTGCAAATATCATAAACAACACTTTTCCAGTCCATTCACCAGTCCATTCACCTGCTTTTCCTGCATAAATGGAAGCTAGAACATTAAGTTCTATAATTTATTATACAATAAAACCAAGAGATAATTCAAGTTTTTATTGTCCAGAACTGCAGACACTTTTCCAGGTCTGATGAAGTGTGTGATACAGAACAGGGATATACTGAGCATCAAAAGCTTGGGATTCTTTTTTCTCCACATCATTATAGGGATAATGTGCTAATTCACATTACATTTCTCTAGACTTCAGCTTCCCTTACTATGGAATCAAGACTTCTTCATGCACACCATACGTGCATAAGTGTGAGTGCATGTGTCTTGCCAGAACTCCTGATACCTTCTGGATTTTGTCCAGTTTGAGTTAAAGAGGACAGGGAGGTTATGGCATCAAAACCAT